CTCTCCCACATGTGCACGGAATTTCGTAAACGATGTTTACGTTGCAGTTGATATATTTATGTGTGTGCTGGACTGAGCAGTGTTCTTGTCTTTCGTTCTGGGAGTTGATTTTTGGAAGGGCTTAAACCCAAAGTGATACAAGCAAAATCTCTCCAACTTTGCAATAGATTGGACTTAACTCAACTCAGAAAACAGATTACCGCGGCAAAAGGTGTCCAATTGGAAATGTTTTTTACGGCAAAAACTCATAAGGAAAGTTGCCCATTTCGAGTAGTGGTAACAGAAAAAGGATCATGGCAGGGAGCTATGTCTAGATTCATTCTAGACCACCTTAAAAATATTGAAATCAACGATCCTTTTTTGATTCCCAACTCGCAGACATTGATAGAACACCTTAAACAAGATGGCACGACAGTGAGGTATGGGTTTTCGCTTGACGTTGAAGACTTTTTTTACTCTGTCCCACACAAGGAAATGTTTGCGGCAACCAGTGCGTGCATCGAAGAACATGGAACTGTGTCCTTCCAAAATCAGTGCGGTATCTCCGTGGAGTCATTCATGGAGCTTCTGAAGTTCTACCTCACCTCCACTGTAGTGACGTTCACCAACAACACATATATCCAGAAAAAAGGAATATGCATTGGCTCATGCGTGGCACCAGTTCAGTGTAACATCTTCTTATCCCAATGTGACAAGAACATAGCCCAGAAGCTCTCAGCAAACCTGGTATCACGGGTGTTCAGATATGTTGATGATTATCTTGTCCTACTGCATGAACGACCTAAACAAAATGACTCAACTGTAAACAATATCTGCACCACGTTCCTTACTCAATCTCAGGGACTAAGCTTTACCCACGAGCTACCAGATAAAAGCAAGCTTCAATTCCTACATCTTCAGCTGTCCTTTGAAGACAACCATACTTGCTGGACATACAAACCACGGTCCAAAAAATCACTTCTACCATTTGATTCGGCCCATTCTAAAATAATCAAGAGAGGAATTGTAAAAAGCTGCTTCATAGCAGCCTTGCAAAAATCATGCGAGCACACAGCCAAGCAGAGTTTTGAGGCACAAGTTCAAAAACTACAGGAATCTGGGTATACCAGCTTTTTAATGTTCGATGTAGCAGAGAGCCTGACCACTCACAATGAAAGGAGAAGAAGAGATAAGACACGGCGCCCGGCAGTGATACCCTACCAACACAAAGTATCACACAACTTGAAACGAATAGCGTCGAAATAGGACGTACAGGTTGTAACATCAGCTCCTGACAAACTTAAAAAACTGTGTCCAAAAATCAACTCCCAGAACGAAAGACAAGAACACTGCTCAGTCCAGCACAAACATAAATATATCAACTGCAACGTCAACATCGTTTACGAAATTCCGTGCACATGTGGGAGAGTGTACGTCGGTCAATCTGGGCGCTGCGTTAATGTGCGACTACGAGAGCATGAGCTTTCCCTGCATGCGTCACCGTCTGGACACTTGGCCATACATGCCAGAGACCATAAATGCACCCCCCTTTTCAATCAAACGCAAATACTGAAACGCTTTCGGAGCAAAGGAGCCAGAGAGATTTTCGAGGCAAAAACTATAATCGAAAAAGGAGACACGTGCATTAGCACACCATCAATTTCACTGTCTGAGAAAGAGATAGGGTACCTCAACCGTTTTTCTTAATCTGGATGCTTTTCTTTAATTTTATTTTTCTATCAGTCCTAAATTTTCTCAAATCATTTTTAATCATTTTAAGTTGGAAAACAATTGGAGCCTTAATTTATCAAATCTCCTCTCATTTTCGTCTTTCTCTTATTATCCATTAAACAATCAGTTGTTAGTAAGCGCTTGTCCTGTTCACTCTTTGTCCTGTCCTTGTCCTTTGTGCTTTTGTAATTAAGATGTGATTTATTCTCTTCGCGCTCTTCGAACTTCGCCACTCGCTCTTCGGCGTCCTTGTTGGCTGGTGCCCAAATCCCATTGGCTGACGAGCGATAATAGGATGTTCGAGACGCACCATGCCCTGAGCTTCTTATGCTCTTGGAGCCTATGCCATCTTTCTCGATGAAAGAAAAATGAAACACTCATTCATCTCTTCATAGATTCATTAATTTGTTAATTGAAGTTATGGAGTAAACGGCACGACTTTCAAGGCTGCCATCCTCTCCGCAATTTATTTATTTTATCTATCTCTCTTTCTTTTTCTCTCTCTCTCCCTATCTCCATCTGTATTATTTTGCACACTTTTTATGTTTATAAACGTTTACTGACCACTGTGTTTCGTTCTTTTTTTCCGGCCAAGCCCAAAAGGCGTTCTATAGCGCAAAAGGCTAGAAACCTGACGAATCACTGGTTCCTTACAGTTTCCTTGAGTGTCAATGTCAATTAAAAGAAGAAGGAGTGCATTCAGCTAGGAGTTACAAACTCAGACATAGTGATCGGCATCTTGCCGATAACATAGTAATATATAAATAGCGAGAAATCAAAATACACAAGATACTAGAAGCATCGAATATATGAACGTAAACAGATAAACGCGAAACCCATACCAGCATAAAGCACAAAACACTTCATGATTTTTTTTTATTACAATGCGGCTTGCCTTTTATTTACTTATATTTCTGCCTACCAGTAGTGTCCTAGAATCTTTTTTTAATATTGTACGGTATTGTTTATAGTTTATATCGGTTGTGTTATTAATAAAGCTAATTATTTGATATTGTGAAATCTGCGTTTTTTAATTAGTTCGGAAATGGGGTTTTACTTGTGCAACATGACGCAAGGTATACCACAATGTTTTCATTTTTCTGGAAGTAACATAGATCTTTCTTCTATATTTCATTGTTGTAATCTAAAATAACCCTCGTGATTCGCCTTCAAGATATTATATTCAAGGGAAGGTGGCCGAGAGCGCGCTTTCTTGTGTTTCTTTTATAGTTTTCAAGTATTGGTTGAACTTTTTTTTTCTTTCTTTAGTTAGTAATTTGCTATAACTAGATAGTGTTGCTGTACACCACCATCAAATGAAACTTTAGTTCCGTGGGTGCATTCTAGAGAAACCGTGGTAGATTACTTCCGAGAATTCCTGCGTGCAACACAACGCGCGTTGCATTATAAAGATGCCCTGGTTGGCCACGGAGGGGAGTGGCATAACTTCGATTTCGATTGCGCCGTTGACGAAGTAGCGCATCTCAGCACTACTTCGTCATTACCCGCTTTCATTGCTCCAATTCATCTTCGTAAAGCCCCCGATGAAAAACGGACCTTCAGCGGAAGTAAGGATCTGCTTAGACTTAGCGGGGAATAGGTGTACGGACGGTGGCGCATACGTCTCTGGCATCCTGGGGGGCTACGTTGCATGTTTTAGACTCCCAGGAGACTATAGGAGAAGGAAGTGACGTAGCTGTGAATGAACGTATCTTAACAACACCACGCAACGCGTCATCAGCGAGTCCACCAATCAACATCCAAAGAGCGTTGTTGACGTCACTTCTTTCTTCCTAGCCTCCTGGGAGTCCAAAACGTGCAACGTAGCCCCCCTGGCTACTACTCCAGAGTGAAGCATTACCCTCCCGGGTCACGGGTCATTTAAGAAGCTTAGGACATTAAGACGATGGAACAAGGTGATGGGCCCAGTACACTTCTTCGTATGTTTACCTTTGCGTATACTCTGGTCACTTCGGGAGCCCCGAAAGAAACGTGCCCCAGCATTCTGTCTGTATTGGATGGCAACACCCACAGCATTATGAATTCAAAGAAAGTCACATACACGAAAATGCAGTGTATGCATTTGGTCATAACTGGAAGGTGAATCGGTGGCCCAGTGGGCTAGCGCACACCAGCTCGGAGTACGTAGAGCGAAAGCTCGCGCTGCAGAACCCAGGGATCCTGGGTTCAATCCCTACCCCGCCTGTTTCGATCTGGATGAGCATCCTACAGCGTGAGGTCGTCTATCGTTACTGCGTGGTGCACGTTAAACTCCTCAGGCTAGCGGCTGTACCGCACTGGCTAAATTTCTCATGTACAGCGAGTGACTCGTCGCAACATTGAAATGGCTGATCAACTATAATCTTTCTAAATATCCACAAAAAAATTGGGTTGTGTGTGTGTGTTTATACAGCCTAGAACTTGGTCTGCCTCACAGGGGCGACGAGTCTCCCAGGTGTAGATGAGAAATTTAGCCAGTGCGGTACAGCCGCTAGCCTGGGGTCTTTAACGTGCATCACGCAGTAGCGATACACGACCGCACGCCGGTACGATGCTCATCCAGATCGAAACGGGCAGGGGTGGGGCTCGAACCCAGGATCCCTGGGTTCTGCAGCGCGAGCTTTCGCTCCACGTGCTCCGAGCTGGTGTGCGAATATCCACACAACCCAATTATTAGAGAGTTTTAGTAGATCGTGTTTTCAGGCCAGGCTAATCGTAGCTGAAGCTCGCGCTGCCACTTCGATGCATGCTCTGAAGCGCGCGCCCGTAGCGGCAGCGGGCCTTTCAAAACTATCTACTAAAACTCCCTATTATTTATCGTGACGGGATGTTGCGAATTGAGGTTGGCAAATCGAAACCGAAACCGTGAGCAATGGGCTCCTAAGATGCTTTGCAAGGCACTTCGCCGCTAGGATCGCTTTAATTTTTGAAGAGGTCTATCCACAGGGTCGACATATCCAAGCCGGATCCCGACTTTGGTATGATATAGTTGACGGCGCAGTTCCGAGAATAATACTCAGAATATACAGAAACGAACTGTACACTGAACGGCAGACAGCACTAAGTACACTTCCTATGTAAGTGTTGACTGGACTTCCAGTTCCTAATATACGAACGCACATAGTTACCAGTGCGCAACACATGATAACGCCAGATCAGGGTCGTGCCAAAGACCGCCTGCCCTTATCCACAACTGATTACCTTTGGAGAGGCCCACATCAACCTGCCCTTACGTGAGAAAAGATAGGCGGGGTATCTTGTCAGAAACGCTGAAACGAGCGTGGCAGGTAGCGGGGACATTGTCTGGCTCAATATGACGCGCGTTATCTGGACGTCGGATACAGTTCTTAGATACCGCCCCTATCAAAGCCACTGGGAGAGTTCAGGACTTGCGATTCTCGCAGGACGCAAAATAAAGTGCGTTATTTGGGCTGCGTTGGAGTTACTGCTGACATCCCACGCAAGAAGGAAAAGGTACGTTGTAAATTGTATATCAAAACTGTTTCTTTCTCTCTTAATTTGAGGGAGGCAGGATTGCTTAAAAAAGAACGCTGTAACCTATTCATTGACATTCTAAAATCCAAGACGAAGGCGAAGAGGAATGACAAACGCAACGTTTCAAAGATGTTGTGTTTGTCCTTTTTTTCCTCCATCGTGGGTTTTAGTAACAACCTGCTTGCCTGTTTAATGATGTTGACTAACGTTTTCATGGTTAAAAACTTTCATTGGACTACTAGATTCTGCTACATATTCACAAAACGAATCGCAATATGTTCCTTACTGTACCCCTTTTCACTCGAAGTGCGACCGTTGCAGTAGCTGCATGTCCAAACTTCAGGCTTTCGGTGTCCCTGCAAAGAAACGTGCGGTCATGCCGTGGTAGGAGGAAAAAACGCTTATTCAGACCTCTTTGCGGGGACGGAGGTAGGGGAATGAGTCGATGCCGTCGAGGCCTGGACTCGCGGTGTGGGATATGCACTTGTAAAGCAGCTTCGTGATTAATACGCAGAGGCGTGTGTGCAAACATCGCGCAGGGTGATTTAAAATACCGGTAATATGATCGTGCACGTAGCCTCGACTTCGCTCGTACATAAGGTGAAACGAACTGTACCATAATTCTTTTTAATACACATATTATTCTGCAAGATAGTGTACTAAAGTAATGGACCGGCAACCGATGATCAAATAAGCGTTTTGTGGAGCAGTGTGGGTAAGTGGATACAACGAAGATCAGAACTTCGAAAAGCAATATGTTCCACCCGTTGCGAATTCCTACCCACCGGCCCTCGACCGCGGAAAACGTCAGGAATCAATGGGCGCCAAATTTGTTACACAAATATTCGGAGTGGCCAAACAACTAAAAGTCAAATCAGGTTTAATGGCATATGACAGGGCAAAGTTTTGCGGCAACCCTGGGTCCTGTCAACTGTTGCTAGACCCTATTAGGCTTGACAAACGCCTAATTTATCGAGGGGAAAAAAAAAAGAACATAACTCGGATTACGCGTTTCTTCTCCACCGAACTTTGAGTAGGTATATATACTGTATATAAACCTGCTGTTTTCTTTTCTATGCTGAAATCAAAATGTCTCTGCTTTCCAAATTTTTTTTTTTCTGGCGCGTATTTACAGCGATTCGATCGTAAATTTCTTGAGCCGTGATTCCCCTTTACGCTTTACACGGCACTTTGGTTACAACACACCACGAGACGGAAAGCATGCCACTATTTTCACTGAGAGCTTGACAGACGCACGGCGTGGTCCAAGTCCACAGCATCTCCTTATCACTCGACAACCAAACAGACTGCGCCATTCAGCGATGAAAACACCTTAGAACCAATCACGCACCAAGAAGAAGAATAGGCCACACCCTACATTCCTCAAGTTGTCAGTGAACGTGCAATCTCGCATAAAACAACTATACATGTTGTTTTATTTCGAAAATCCTTTGAATTCTGACGTAGATGAGTTGGGCCAAAATAGTAAATCGCTTTATTTACCGACTGAAATGCGCTAGAATTCAAGAAGTACGAACCAATTGCTCCACCTTTCTGTTGGCTATATTTTTTTTATCGTAGTTATGCTTAAACTATTTACTTTAGTTTTGGGTGCCCAACCCGACCGCGTCATATTTCAGCCTGGCAAACGTCACACAAAAACGGTCTACAGTATACTTTGTTTCACCTTCAGACCTGACGCAGCCGACGCTACGAGCTGATGGGACCAATCAGACAGCATCAAAAGTGCACCATCATGCTGTTCATTGTGTTTATGCACGTTTTCTTTCATGGCTGAACCAATCATAAACACGAAGGCCCACAGACTTCCCGTTTTTAACGCTGCTTTAAAATAGTTTGTTGTTGGGCGAGTTGGTGAACGTTTGGATTCACGGTTTTGCGCAAAAAAGACGGACACAAGAGAGAGAAACAAACACGAGCGCAACTTACAACTGTATTGAGGAAAACCTCAATACAGTTGAGGTTTTCCTCAATACAGAAAATCACTTATAACTTTTGATTAAGTTATCGGATCGGGCTAGAACTTTGACATCTGGTTGTGACCTCTAGCTCTACCTTTGGGCGGAGAATGAGCGTTCGGCGATGCCTAGTTTATTTTTGCGGTAAAAAAGACCATGTAAATTTTCTTTTGTGACACCCTGTATATATACAGGGTGTATTTTTTATCTGCACCAAATTTTCAAAAACAAGGAACGTGGCATAGAGTAATTTAAGCCCTGGGGAAGTGTTAATGGCCATGGCGGCCACTAGAACAAAGGTGAGATTAGGTAATTAGTTAGCTAATTAACTAAAATGTTTTAACTAACTTTTTTATTTTTCACTTGAGAGTACGTAGTCTATTAAAGCATTGAAGCTCGACCTGAATATAAGCTAGCCCTGCCATCAAAGTTTGATTAAAAAATGTTTAGTAGGTGCTAGGGAGTCGAGAAATTTCACTTCGGTACACGTCGTCAAACCGAACCTAAGCGAGAAAGAGCGCCGGTAGAGTTTTTGCTTCACCCTTTCGGGCATGCGATTTGTTATTATTACGGCCGGCTCCACTTGTTTAGGTGAATCTGGCTGCGATAACGACGATTCATGGGGGCCGGAAGGGCGGAGTAATTACTTTACCGGCGCTCTTTCTCGTTTATTTTCGGTTTCACGCCGTGTACCAAAGTGACATTTCTTGACCTCGTAGCACCTACTACAAATTTTTAACCAAACTTTGATGGCAGGGCTAGATTATATTGATGTCGAGCTTCAATTGTCTAAATACACTATGTGCCCTCAAGTTAAAAATTAAAAAGTTCGTTAAAAATTTTTAGTTAATTAGCTAACTAATTACCTAATCTCATTTTTGTTTTAGTGGCCGCCATGGCCATTAACACTTCCCCAGGGCTTAAATTACTCTATCTCACGCTCCCTTTTTTTGAAAATTTGGTGCTGCTAAAAAAAACACCCTATATATATATATATATATATATACTCAACACAATATTAGCCCTTAAAGGAGTTAGCCGAGGAGGTTGCCAAAAAGGAGATCAGTATATATATATATATATATATATATATATATATATATATATATATATATATATATATATATATATATATATATATATATATATATATATATGTAAAACTGAGAAGAAAAAACCCTTAGTGAAAACAGCAACAACGGACGATTTAATCTTTGACGTTTCGGCCGGAGTTATTTACAATCAATGGCCAAATAAGGACTACAATGACATGACGGTAAAATGCAATCCTTCCTCCCAAAAGAGATTTGTTGCTACGAATTCTCTTCTTTGACGGAATCACCTGTACACACCGGCAGCAAAGACCACAAATAACAAAAAGGTACGGGGTCTAAAGTATGTGACGAGAGCTGCACGATCAGGCGTATCATACCTATCCCAAAATTTCACTGACGCTGGGAGACCCTGCAATTAGGGTATATCCCAGGGGTGGCCAAACCGCGGCTCGCGAGCCGCATGCGGCTCTTTGGTGGTCCAAGTGCGGCTCGCAGATCCCTCGAAAGGGGACAAACCCCCCCCCCCCCCCTCTTTCGCCCCTTTACGCGTTTCCCCAGGAAAAAAAAGAGAGGATTTCAGAATAAAGCACACTGCAGCTTGCAGTTTGACAGCGTTGTACTCCCACGCGTACAGTCGTACAGCCTCGTGCCCCCATACGTGCAGTCAGACTCTGAACAAAAGTTAAGTCCCCCCCCCCCCCCCCTCCCGCAGCTCTAAGGAGTTCCGTGGTTTTGTTTGCGGCTCTTGAGCCAGGCCAGCCTGGCCACCCCTGGTATATCCTATAGTAACTGATAGGCTAGGAGCGGTAGGCCCTTTCCTTTAGAATGTACAGCCTCCAGTACGCGCTTGTTGCCTTCCGTCGTGCACTGGCTGCACTCGCAAACTCGATGCTCACGACACGCCAAAGTATTATCGAAGCTAGTCACTGATTTGGTGAGAACTCCGGGGAGGGCTTTTAGTTGTCCCACATGCAGAGCGAGCTTCGTACCTTTGATAACACCTTCGGCTTCTCGTGAGTCTCAAGTGTTCACGAGCAGCCAAAAGCACCGCGGAAGGCAACGAGCTCTTGCAGGATGCCGGACTTTCGAAAGAAACACCCTACCATTCTCACCTTGTAAGTGACTATGCTTCATACGCACACAACTCAAACGAAGCATCTATTACCCTTCAGCGGATCAGCGCAAGAATGCGTCCAATCCTGATCCTCACGCTTCTAGTCTCAAGCCTGGCACTGAGCAAGGGCAACGCCAGTCACAAGCGCGTCCGCTTGGTGCCGCCTGCCAACCTGTCCGTCACGTGCCCCAGCTCCGCGTTCTCGAGGCCGAGTTTCACCCTCTGGTACTACCCCAATGGCACGTTCATCGAGACCAGAGACAGGGTGATGGTCAACGAGGAAACGGGCGCTCTGTTCATCCAGGACCTGACCAACGACGACTGCGGCTTGTACTATTGCACGTCCCTGGCGGACGGAGGCGGTCCCGGTAGATCTGCCGGACTCACATTCGTGGAAGTCTACACCGTCGAATCTAAGCCTTACTTGGATAGGGCGTTTGCCGGCGGTGTGGCTGCCCTCTGCGTACTTACGACGGCGGTTTTCATAGCGCTGGTTGTTAGGTTTAGATATCGAAGCGAAGAGGAGAAGAAAAAAACCGTTCTTCCTGTGGTCTCGAGGACGAATGTAGGTTACGATCATACAGAAAGTTCTACGTCTTTTTAGTCTTTGTTTTCGGGAGGGCTCGGCCATGTTGAAATAAAAGATGATTATTGAAAACTAGCGTGTTTTTCTCACTTCCTTTTTTTTGCGTTCCTCAGAAACGTCTTTTTCTGTTGTTGTTGTTGTTTTGTTTTTTTCTTTTGACACATAACAGTTACGGAAACGGCCTCATCCTTTACGCTTTTGCACCGAGATAACAAAATTATCTTTAATGCCCTTTCGAATGCAGCATCATAGCCTCCTATATACTGACAAAGTTTGGCAGATCGTCATGAGCAGCAGCCGCCGAAATGGAAAAGGTGGAGCGGCAGACAACGAATGAGAGAGCCACATGACTGCCATCCCGCTGTGGCGAGACGCCGACACACACTTCTCCCGAGCGAACAAGTGTGTTTCGGGTCCTCGCCACTGTAAAAGCTGTGCGCTGACGTACAATTCCGAAATGGCTTTTTGATGCACAGTTCTGCCAGATCACCGCGCTCCAGATCAGCAACCGGGCACTTTATGGCCCCGTCATTGATCTGCCAGGCTCTGTGAGTATAAAGGAGGCGATGGCAGTGGCAGTACCAAGCCACCCTATATTGGAGAAGAGATTCAGCCGTTGTGCTCCCTCTAGCAGTTCAACTGAGAACTAAACCGATGTGGCAAGAACAACATGAATCATCTTTCTATATTACTGATGTAGGTTGGCTGGCCGTGGCGGAAGGCTGCGTGAGCGTTCGACGTGGGCTCGTGTTTAATCATTGGAGCACCAATAATCCGTTTTCAAAAGTTCACCGGGCAACATTGGCGGTCGCCATACCTTGGGCACGAAGGGTGTGACTGGATCGGCGTCCCGGCCGAACGCTGTAGCAGCACTCGGTCCCGGTATATGAGTTTAGCCCTAGTTCAAGCTGAACGCTGACGGAAACCTCGTGTTCAGTTATTTCTCAGAGTATATGCGCCAAAACAAATGCGCACTCGGATAATTGGCGCAGCCGCTAGATGGCGTGCGCGTTTTGTAAAGGATCTATCGAGCACGAGTTCCTTTCCGAACGCTAAGCCAGCCAGGGATTCTAATATGTGCCACGCACTCCCTCAAAGTACTGTGTGCAAAGTACTGCAAAAGTAGACTAGTATGCGTGGTCGAACGATCATTCTCCCACATGTAGTTCTAGAGGTTCGAACCAGATGCCAAAGTTTCATCATTGACCGTTATTCTTATTCGAAGGTTACAAGTGCTTTTCTGCATTTTCAATGGAAAAATGGCAGACGACAGAGCCCTCGAATACATGGGACTCTATGGTACCAGTTAGAGAAAACCCGCGAAAATGGATCCCGTTTTCTAATTAAACATTTCAGGAAATCACGTATAACTTTTGAATAAGATAACGGCTATTCCTGAAGTCCGTGGCATTTGATTCGTATCTCTAGCGCGACATTTGGGGGGATAATGAACGTTCCGGGATGCACAGCAAAAGAAAAAAAAAAAAAAGACGCAGTACTTTTCTTTTCTTTTTTTTTGGATTTTGTAGATTTCGTAAAAAATCCAGTCCCATTTCTCGTGTTGGGTAAGCACTGATATCTGTAGAAAGCTGGACAATGCGACCCCTATAGTTCGATGTCTTTGCAAATTATACATGAGAACTTCAGTGAAGGGCCCTGTTCTCAAAAGGCTTAGAGAGAAACGGCCTCACTTATCCACTCAGTACGATCGCCCCATTTTAAAGCGAAAGTATTATATGCTTCATTACGAGAAAATGCGGCGTCGTTGTCTCCGAAAGATGGCAATAAATATACGTCGCCAAGCAAGCGCCGCTCAACACAAAGAAAAGCACAGCAACTTACAGGGGTCATGAAACGATTTTCCCACTTCTTCCCTCTTTAGCTTGAATCCTCAACTCAAATGCAAATTGTGAAATCATGTCGGGGTGACATTCTTAAGGTTTGTTCACACGTTCACACGATGCATCTTTTAGGCGCGTAATAGTTTCGCGACACTCAAGTTTCGCGAAATGTGCTCGTTCACACGTACCGCTTCACGTGCAACAACGATGACGTTAAGACTCACGAAAATAGTTTGGGTGTTGACCATAAAGTGGCGCTTCAGTTGAAAGCCAACATCATCATCATCACCATTAGCCATTCAGCGTCGTGCTCTCCATCTCCCGCCACATTCTAAGAGTCAAAACGCAGGCGAGCTGGAGAACAATCATAATTAAGAAATAAAACCTTAAGACAAGGAAACAAAAAGGGACATACACACCACCGTCTTAAAACCAGCACAGCATACAGCTGTCATTTACTTCCATTTACTTAATTTACTCCTAAATTGTCATTTCCTAGTTGTTGAATTGTCATTTACTGCCATTTACTTTATTTGCTGTTGAATATGTATAATTTGAATGGAGGTTGACAAAGAAGAAGACTGTTGTGGAAGTAAATGAGAGCTGTACGCTGTGCTGATATTAGGACGGTACTGTGTACGTCCCTTTTTCGTTTCCTTGTTTCAAGGTTTTATTTCTTAATTATGACTAAAAATAGACGTGAATTATCATCATAACCAATTACGTCTTCGTCCATCGCTGGATTTTTTTTCCGATATGCTACTCAATTTTCCTTCAGTAGTGCTTGACGTGTTTGCGGAAGCGCCGGCAGTATCCATCGTTCGTGGTTTCGTTTTTTTTTTTTCGGATTTGGCTACAGCACCGGCAGTGAAGTGGTCTTCTCAAACAGCTCGCTCTCCCCTCAAAGGCCACGTGAGAGCGTTTCTGAGCGGCCATTGGCGGCGCCGTCAGAGTAATTGACAGGACTCGGCAAAGTTTCAGCAAAAGCTCGCTCCAGAAGCGAGGTGTGCGCGCAACTTTTTTTAGATGCGCGCGTCCTTTTCGGACCCGTTCAGACGGCGCAACCATTTCTCGAAACTACGTTTCGCGACACTAGATGCGCGAGAAAAATGCATCGTGTAAACGGGCCTTTAGGCACCGGTGCGATGACTCCCAGCTTCCACCGTGCTTTTTATGCACACCATAGAACTTGTCATTCCACAGTGACGATAAGTTCCGTCAGAGCGCTCATTGGCCACGAACGCGAATCCAAATATTCGATGACAGATTGATTGTTGACGAGCGCATACGTCCGAGTGACGCAGTTCTCATGTCCAATGCGTGAGCTGGGCTCGGCTGCCGTCAGGTTGGCACCGCTGACGCGCTTTGGGAACCGTGGATGTATAATAATAATAATAATGTTTTATTTTGAACCAAAAATACATGATGCAGGAGGCCTGCAGAAAAAGCTGTCAAATATACAGCTTGATAAAGCCGAAGGCCCCCATACTGGTAGCTTCGGTTCAAAGATAATATAATAAACTAAAAGTGGAAACATAGTGACAAATCTTTTCACATAAAAAAAATAAAGATACAGAAAAGATAATAAACTATACATATTAGAAATACAAATAAAAATGCACACACACTGATGAATCTGTTTACACACAAAATATAATAAACTGTACATCATAGAAATAAAATTATCATTTAGTGACAAGTCGAATGATTAAAAAAAATGGTCAACTAAAAATGAAACAATAGAAGTTCCTGGAAACAAATTATACCCCCCCCCCCCTTTCCTCTATTCTTTTCAGTATAAGAGTTTAAAGCATTCTGAAAAAGTTGCGCAGTTCTTAAAAATAAATATGTTCTGGCTGAATATTTTTATCATGTAATTTATTTAATGAACTTGCTAATTTGTTTTGTATCATTTGTAAGCCGTATCTTGTTCTACAGGTGTCTATTTTCCAAGGCTCATTTTTTCGCGTGTTGTGTACTGTAACATGTGGTTTTAGTTTTGCCAAGTTTCTTGAAAGGCAAATGTTCTTTCTTGTTCCTTGTTTATATTGCTTACAGAGGCGGAAATTATACATTTTTGTTATAGGCATGCCATTAATTTTTTGTAAATAGAGATTGTGTGTGATAATGATTACGCAACTTTTCTACCATTCTCAGAAACCTTTTTTGTACTATATGTATTTTCAGCAGATTTTCTTGTGTGGACGAAGCCCAGACTAAATGACAGTAGTTGAGTCTTGAAGAAAATAGTGAATTATATATTAAGATCATAATGTTACGTGGAAGTATATACCTATTCCGATATGTCACGCCGAGGATCTGCGACAGTTTAGTTATCACTGAATTTATATGATTGTCCCAAGACAATGTTTCCTGAAATATGACGCCTAATGTCTTGAAAAAGGGCACGATCTCGACAGTAATTGTTTTGCTTGTGATTATATCTTTGTTTTTACCATGAAATAAACTTGCTTTTGTCTTTTCAACATTTATTTTCAAACCATTACCTTTTGTCCAGTCTTCTAGCCTAAGTAGAGTTGAATTCGCAAGGTCAATTATTTCATCGGGTAATTTGCCGGCTAAAAGTATGCTGGTATCGTCCGCATAATTAATAAATTTGGCACTATAAGAAATACTTACGATATCATTTACATACGTATTGAAAAGAAAGGGGCCCAAAATGCTGCCCTGTGGTACGCCAGAAGAAACTTGATTAGGGTCCGATAGAGAGTCACCCAAGCTAACGATTTGGCTATGATATTGAAAATATGATCGAATAAGGGATGCTGCTATTCCACGAATACCATATCGCTCTAGTTTTTGTGTGAGAAGTTCGTGATTAATATGGTCGGAGGCTTTTGTAAAGTCTACAAACAGACCTAAGACTAGATCATAGTGAAAAGGCAGACAGCATTCGAAGGAAAGAAGGTACAAAGTAGTCCGCTATATTTTCAATTGTTCGTACCGAAAAGATGGCTTTTAACTTTCTAGCCTCTTTCTTTTGGCCAACTAAACGATATGGGATTAGTAAAGTCCCAATTTAAAATCATTCATCCCAGCCCAATATTCGTTTCATGGCCCCTTTAAGTGTGCTCCTGCATTTTTTTTTTATTTGGTCACCAAAAAAGAGGAGCATGCGTGAGTGCCTTGTTTTCAAGATAGGCGCGCACGAAATTCAGAGATCCGAATATAATAACCAATGTGATTCAAAGCATTAGGCATTAA